TAAAAACTGTAATAGAAAGATAGAATTCGAGTCACATATGTAAAATTCAAATAGAAACAACTTTTTCAAGTGAACTTTTTCGATATTCGAACAAATAAGCCTACTTTCAGCGATTAATTTGAAAAAAAATGTCACTTTTGACATGTAGCGAAAGTCACGTGACCCCGATTGAGTAGGCCATTTTTCATCTTTTTTGAAGCAAAACTTTACGTCCAACTCGGATTTCAAATTAAGTCATTAATAAAAGTTTTCCCATATGATGCCGACTTTATGAATGACACTGTATATAAAAAAATTAAAATTTTTCGAAAACTGACAAAGATAACCTCAATAAAGTATATATGTCAGAAATTAGAAGAAATAGCTCTTCCGGTTAGAATAATGAAATACAGGGTGTCACAAATATAAAAATTAAAAATGGCGAGCTATTCGCACTCCATGTGCAAAGATATTTCATTCTGCAACTTGCTATACAGGGTGTTATTGAATGTCCATATTTGACGAGGCGATTCTTGGGCCCATTTTAAGGAGAAAATTTCATGTGAACGTATGACCTAAACGTCTAACTTTTTGAGATACAGGGTGACAAAGTTCCCACAAATAAATAGTTTTTCATTAATATCTGTGATACCACTCGATTAGATCTCTTGAATTATTTCAGTCCGAACCACGGTTTTTCCCTAAAAAATTAAATCCATTTCTCTACATTGTGATATATTGTGATATTATTAACGATTTGTTATGATCATGTCGTGAAAAGGTATTAATTTTTTCAAGCGAAAACCGTACATCAGATTGAAAAAATTGTAGAGATCAAATTTTTTTAGAAATGATTGAGAATTTCAGGAATAATTTCAATTTCGAGATTCATCAGTGGCGTACCATCAATGTCTGCCAAAATAGGTATGTGAAATTCACTGTAACAACTGAAAGTTCCAGTACTGACCAAGAGATGGTGCTAGTTACTCTATAGAACTGAAGGAAACTTGATTTCCATATAATTCCATACTGTAATAACTCGATACAATAATCAATACTTGTTACAGTTTTAAACTGTGAAATATTTTCAGTGATTAGAAGTTGTTACATTGCATAGCTCAAAATGGTTAATTTCAACACTCAGAACAAACTTATAATACTATGTTTTATCATTGTTCCTGTAGTGATTGTAACCTAACCCCCTTGCTAGGGTAGGTAGAACTTTGCAAAATAAGTTGGGTTTGCTCAGTGAAAAAATGTCGTACGGCATCCGTTTTCATGATACAAGGCGTTGAAAAAATCAGTTTTTTACACATATTTCACGATTATTCCGAAACTACTGGCAACATTGTAATGAAATTTTGTATGGATGTTTCTTGAAATCTGACACATCGCATGTATTTGTTTTTATATCTGACTCTCATATAGAGGGCGCTAGTTACACAGTTCGCACCGAGTAGTTTTGAACATAACTTTTTTGAGGTTAGATTTTTCAATCCAAATATGATATGAACTTGAACATCATTCAATTTTACACCAAAAAGGTACTCCTGGTGAAACTCGATACTATGTTCCGTTTTCGGAATATTTCGATTTGAAAATAATGGAGTAGTAATGATGCTGGTATAAAATGAATTTTATTGAGTTCAATTACCTATTTATTCAGGTTCAAAAACAATAAAATTATTCTTGTACTGAAGTTATTGATAGAACAAAGAATCATAAGTAGAAAATTAAGAGATATTTGACTAGAAACATGAAATATTGAATCAGTTAGAGTAAGTGTTCAAAATGTCATTTAAGTGATGTTCAATTATGTCTCACAACTCTTGACGTGAATTTACCTATGTAGCATAGACTTTCTGCTCGAGATACAACAAAACTGTGTAATCCATGTTCTTAGTCAAATCTGTTTCGATGTTATTCTTGTGATTCATTTTTTAATCAATGAGTTTTGCATCAGAAATGTATTGTTGTTTTCGGTTTTCAATAAATAGGCTTTATACCAGCAACAGTTACCACTTCATCATTTTCAAATCGAAATATTCCGAAAACGGAACACAGTATCAAGTTTTACCAAGAGTACCTTTTTGGTGTGAAATTGAATGATGTTCAAGTTCACATCAAATTTGGATTGAAAAATCTAACCTCAAAAAAGTTATGTTCAAAACTACTCGGTACGAACCAGGGCCTTCAATGAGAGTCAGATATAAAAACAAATGCATGCGATGTGTCAGATTCCAAGAAACATCCATACAAAATTTCATCACAATGTTGCCAGTAGTTTCAACATAATCGTAAGAAATGTGTAAAAAAATATTGTTACAACACCTTGTATCTTGAAAACGGATGGCTTTACGACATATTTTTACTGAGCAAACCCAACTTATTTTGCAATGTTCTACCTACCCTAACGAGAAGGTTAGGTTTTTCTGAAACACCCTGTATAATTCAGATCAATAGTGTAACAAGTCAGAACAAAATTATTTTTTACCAAAAGTTTTCTTTCTTAATTTGTTATTTATTTTTGAGAACTCTACCACCCTGTATCTCAAAAATTCCATCCTAAATGAATACGAAATTTCAAAATATTTGTGTTAACTAGCGAATATTTTCGCAACTTGTTGCATTAATATCCATCTAGATCCTCTGTATAAACATGTGAAAAAAGCAAATTTCAAAATGTTTCCATCGTTTTAAGGAATATACCGAAGCAAAATACCGAACACGTGATGAATGCCCCCATATAATTATATTATACAAAACCACTTACCATCTTGAAATAATACAACTTTCACACACTCAAATGTTTCACACACTCCAATGAAAATACAATCACTAAGCCGAATATAAATTCCAATACAACTTTCACACACTCAAATGTTTCACACACTTAAATGTTTCACACACTCCAATGAAAATACAATCACTAAGTCGAATATAAATTCCAATTTCCCACTCTTGAATACTTCGAGTTCTTTTTTTATTATCACTTAATACGACCGTACACGATGAAGTATAGAACGAGACTGCTGATTGATTTGATTTATCATTCGAATGACTAATCAGTTACGTCATCCTTTCAACCGATTAATTCCAAACAAGTATGACTAATTCCGATATCGATAGTAGGTATACGGGGTGAAGTGAAAATGAACTTTAAGGATACTTTCTTTCATTTTCTTATCAATACGAGGTGTTCTTGAAATGAGTTCATATATTTAGCAAATCAATTGAATATAGGCAACGGATATTCCCATGATATCAGATTTTTGCTAATTCTTCTAATCAACGAGAAATTTGATTTTGAAAATTCAATAAAAATCGCATTCTGCACGGAAATTTGTACAGAGGTGGTGTCTGAATTGCTACAGTGTAGAACTTTGGGTGGAAAAAGAGTCTTACCCTGGATTTTATTTGATCCCTATATTTTTTCTATGGGTGCCCTTCGATACTATTCGTCGAAATCATTTAGGGTTTGAAATATTTGTATTTATTTCAATGTCACCTGTATATTAGGCTGATTTTCCGGCTCTAATGTGTGATCAGTTTTCAGTGTTTCAGTAACTAATTCAAAATCGTTTATAAATCTAAAGCAGACTATTTTTCACCATATCTTGTAGAGTAAAATATGGAAGTCATGGTTTTCAGAGAATCCCGATGAATTGCTTTTTTTTATATGAAATGCATTTTTTGTAGATATATATCGACGCCAATGTTAAAATTTCATGTTTAAAATGTTCCCTACAGGTTTGCTTGAAATTTAGATCTCTTTTCACATTTTTATATCTATTGAAAATATCAATTTTCTGCTAATGATTCCGCAGGCGTTTACTTTTTAATGGTTTATGAATGAATCGCTGTACCTATCTTAGTATCTATTGTTATTTAGGTTGTGATACAAATCATTTTAGAGTGCTCCAGTCAGTATTGCCACCTTGAGGAATATATCCTTCATTGTTCATAAGGACCGGCAAGTGTAGTTGAATAGTTATTTTTTATATGTTGCGGTTTGAATTACATGGTATCAGCGACATGGTTCTTAAGTTTTCCCTGGCGCTCTTCCAATGGGCGTGTACACCTTAGTAGAACTTTTAACTCAAACCATGTTTATAATGATCCTTTTATACATAAATAATGATGGACGACATAATTAGATCGAAAAATTAACTGGAATGTTTTATTTTTGGGCATGAACAATAGTACCTTCTGAAAACGGACCCTCTTATGACGTAGAAACCTCATCTCGCCATAGTTAAAAGGAAAATACCAAACGCCCGACGGAGACTGAGGCAACTGATATATTAATTCTTTCAACTGTGATCTCGCGCTAATTCACTCTGTCAGAAATCATGTATCATTCATCTCTGTCTGGAATAGTCTTGTTTCAGTATTAGGGTTTTGACGTCACATCATCGCCTCGTTTTCAGAGGTCCGAAGAATCGGGGATTTCAATAATTTTTTATAAAACGTAGGGAGCTCACAGCAAGAAACGGTTTGCGGTGGTGAGCTAGTTTGGGTGAGTTCTATCGAATTATGAAATAAAAATTTTTTGTGATATAAGCCCATTGTTCTATAACATTTCTAAACATATAAGGACAACGCTAGTTTCAGCCAAAATAGTTTTTCTTTTCTTGAATAAAATTTGTTTCATGGATTTACCCAAAGACAACCATGATACTTTATAAAAAGAATAATTATAAATAAATTGAGCGACATCAGCGACATGGTTCTTAAGTTTTCCCTGGCGCTCTTCCAATTGTTCTATAACATTTCTAAACATATAAGGACAACGCTAGTTTCAGCCAAAATAGTTTTTCTTTTCTTGAATAAAATTTGTTTTATGGATTTACCCAAAGACAACCATGATACTTTATAAAAAGAATAATTATAAATAAATTGAATTTGTTGGTTCGAAACATGTGTTGAATGCTATCAAATTCATGGTTTTCGTTGGATAAACATAAGTCAGTATTCAAGATAGCTCAGCTACTTATCAGAGATTGATTTTTCCATTGCAGACCAAACAGTTCTAGTGATAACACGAATCGAGAGAGGAACACGACAAAAAAAAGACACGTCAGTAGCGACGACAGCGACAGTGACGTTGACGGTTTGGAACGGAAGAGAATGAAGTTGATGTCGACTTTGTTGAACAGTGCGGAAAACGTCAGAGATCGAATAGAGAAAATCAGGGTCAAAAATGGCATGCCACCCACTCAGCGTAGAAGTTCAGTGTAAGTTACATATTATTGAATTTTTATTCCAGAAAATCACGAACCAATAGATGGCGCTAATAATACGGCAAATTTTGAAGTGAAAGTTGTGAATAAACATTTCTCGACGAAACACGAGTTTCATCAATTCACATTGCTTTCAAAATGGTTTTACCAGTACCACTATCCCTACCAGATCAGTGGAGCTATTCAAGTATTACCATTTTTTTATTTCTCATCACTTCCAACTCCTTCCTGCCTGTATTTTGGAAAATAAAGATTAGAGGGCAAGGATTTCAAATATGTTGAACTAAGTTGGTGATTACATGTGACGTTTTGAAGAATAAGTTTGCTTAAAAATCTAAAAAAATTCACATAGACTAATTCAATATCGAAATTTACGAATCTGTGGTGGAAATTGAGAAATTACGGAAAATGGAGACGTAGTAGTCTACCGGAGTGCTCCTATTGGCAAAAAAATCGAAAAGCTGGCTTTGAGCGCCGATATCTCAAAAACTATCTGTCCTATGGGGCTGATTATCGTCTCATTCGATTCAGCGTGTCATTTTCTACTGGGAAAGCGATAATTCGCGATGATTCTTGCCGTTTTCTGGCACTTTCGGCCGTCCGAAGATGGCTCGGTGACTATATCGTATGGAAGTCTTAGGTGGGAAAATGAAAATTTTTATTTGGACCATTAAAAATCTGAAAAAATTTACATAATAGACTAACTCATATCGAAATTAACGAATCTGTGGTGAAAATTGAGAAATTTTAGGAAATGGAGGCGTAGTAGTCTACCGGAGTGCTCCTATTGGCAAAAAAAGCGAAAAGCTGGCTTTGAGCGCCGATATCTCAAAAGCTATCTGTCCTACGGGGCTGATTATCGTTTCATTCAATTCAGCAGGTCATTTCCTACTGGAAAAGCGATAATTCGCGTGAATTTCTGCCGTTTTCTGGCACTTTCGGCCGTCTGAAGATGGCTCGGTGACTATATCGTATGGAAGTCTTGGGTGGGAAAATGAAAATTTTTATTTGGACCGTTAAAAATCTGAAAAAATTTACATAATAGACTAACTCATATCGAAATTAACGAATCTGTGGTGAAAATTGAGAAATTTTAGGAAATGGAGGCGTAGTAGTCTACCGGAGTGCTCCTATTGGCAAAAAAAGCGAAAAGCTGGCTTTGAGCGCCGATATCTCAAAAGCTATCTGTCCTACGGGGCTGATTATCGTTTCATTCAATTCAGCAGGTCATTTCCTACTGGAAAAGCGATAATTCGCGTGAATTTCTGCCGTTTTCTGGCACTTTCGGCCGTCTGAAGATGGCTCGGTGACTATATCGTATGGAAGTCTTGGGTGGGAAAATGAAAATTTTTATTTGGACCGTTAAAAATCTGAAAAAATTTACATAATAGACTAACTCATATCGAAATTAACGAATCTGTGGTGAAAATTGAGAAATTTTAGGAAATGGAGACGTAGTAGTCTACCGGAGTGCTCCTATTGGCAAAAAAAGCGAAAAGCTAGCTTTGAGCGCCGATATCTCAAAAACTATCTGTCCTACGGGGCTGATTATGGTCTCATTTCATTCAGCGGGTCATTTTCTACTAGTGAAGCGTTAATTCGCCTGAATTTCTGCCGTTTTCTGGCACTTTCGGCCGTCTGAAGATGGCTCGGTGACTATATCGTATGGAAGTCTTGGGTGGGAAAATGAAAATTTTTATTTGGCCTATTAAAAATCTGAAAAAATTCATATAAACTAATTTGATATCGAAATGAACGAATCTGTGGTGGAAATCGAGAAATTCGCCGTTTTCTGGCACTTTCGGCCGTCCGAAGATGGCTCGGTGACTATATCGTATGGAAGTCTTAGGTAGGAAAATGAAAATTTTTATTTGGCCTATTAAAAATCTGAAAAAATTCACATAGACTAATTTGATATCGAAATGAACGAATCTCTGGTGAAAATCAGGAAATTTTGGAAAATGAGGACGTAGTAGTCTACCGGAGTGCTCCTATTGGCAAAAAAAAGCGAAAAGCTGAATTTGAGCACCGATATCTCAAAAACTATCTGTCCTACGGGACTGATTATGGTTTCATTCGATTCAGCAGGTCATTTCCTACTGGAAAAGCGATAATTCGCGTGAATTTCTGCCGTTTTCTGGCACTTTCGGCCGTCCGAAGATGGCTCGGTGACTATATCGTATGTGAGTCTTAGGTGGGAAAATGAAAATTTTTATTTGGCCTATTAAGAATCTGAAAAATTCACATATACTAATTTGATATCGAAATGAACGAATCTGTGGTGAAAATCAGGAAATTTTGGGAAATGGAGACGTAGTAGTCTACCGGAGTGCTCCTATAGGCAAAAAAGCGAAAAGCTGAACTTGAGCGCCGATATCTCAAAAACTATGTGTCCTACGGGGCTGATTATGGTCTCATTCGATTCAGCAGGCCATTTTCTACTGGAAAAGCGATAATTCGCGTGAATTTCTGCCGTTTTCTGGCACTTTCGGCCGTCCGAAGATGGCTCGGTGACTATATCGTATGTAAGTCTTAGGTGGGAAAATGAAAATTTTTATTTGGCCTATTAAAAATCTGAAAAAATTCACATAGACTAATTTAATATCGAAATGAACGAATCTGTGGTGGAAATAGGGAAATTTTGGAAAATGGAGACGTAGTAGTCTACCGGAGTGCTCCTATTGGCAAAAAAAGCGAAAAGCTGACTTTGAGCGCCGATATCTCAAAAACTATCTGTCCTACGGGGCTGATTATGGTCTCATTCGATTCAGCAGGTCATTTTCTACTGGAAAAGCGATAATTCGCGTGAATTTCTGCCGTTTTCTGGCACTTTCTGCCGTCTGAAGATGGCTCGGTGACTATATCGTATGGAAGTCTCAGGTGGGAAAATGAAAATTTTTATTTGGCCTATTAAAAATCTGAAAAAATTCACATAGACTAATTTGATATCGAAATGAACGAATCTGTGGTGGAAATCGGGAAATTTTGGAAAATGGAGACGTAGTAGTCTACCGGAGTGCTCCTATTGGCAAAAAAAGCGAAGAGCTGACTATGAGCGCCGATATCTCAAAAACTATGTGTCCTACGGGGCTGATTATCGTTTCATTCGATTCAGCAGGTCATTCTCTACTGGAAAAGCGATAATTCGCGTGAATTTCTGCCGTTTTCTGGCACTTTCGGCCGTCTGAAGATGGCTCGGTGACTATATCGTATGGAAGTCTCAGGTGGGAAAATGAAAATTTTTATTTGGCCTATTAAAAATCTGAAAAAATTCACATAGACTAATTTGATATCGAAATAAACGAATCTGTGGTAGAAATCGGGAAATTTTGGAAAATGGAGACGTAGTAGTCTACCGGAGTGCTCCTATTGGCAAAAAAAGCGAAAAGCTGACTTTGAGCGCCGATATCTCAAAAACTATCTGTCCTACGGGGCTGATTATAGTCTCATTCGATTCAGCAGGTCATTTTCTACTGGGAAAGCGATAATTCGCGTGAATTTCTGCCGTTTTCTGGCACTTTCGGCCGTCCGAAGATGGCTCGGTGACTATATCGTACTGAAGTCTCAGGTGGGAAAATGAAAATTTTTATTTGGCCTATTAAAAATCTGAAAAAATTCACATAGACTAATTTGATATCGAAATGAACGAATCTGTGGTGGAAATCGAGAATTTCTGGAAAATGTACACGTAGTAGTCTACCGGAGTGCTCCTATTGGCAAAAAAAGCAGAAAGCTGACTTTGAGCGCCGATATCTCAAAAACTAAATGTCCTACGGAGCTGATTATGGTCTCATTCGATTCAGCAGGTCATTTTCTACTAGTGAAGCGATAATTCGCGTGAATTTCTGCCGTTTTCTGGCACTTTCGGCCGTCCGAAGATGGCTCGGTGACTATATCGTATGGAAGTCTTGGGTGGGAAAATGAAAATTTTTATTTGGCCTATTAAAAATCTGAACAAATTCACATAGACTAATTCAATATCGTCATTAACGAATCTGTTGTGGAAATCGAGAAATTTTGGAAAATAAAGACGTAGTAGTCTACCGGAGTGCTCCTATTGGCATAACAAACGAAAAGCTGACTTTGAGCGCCGATATCTCAGAAACTATCTGTCCTATGTGGCTGACAATAGTCTCATTCGATTCAGCGTGTCATTTCCTACTGGAAAAGCGATAATTTGCGTGAATTCCTACTGATTTCTGGCACTTTCGGCCGTCCGAAGATCGCTCGGTGACTATATCGTATGGAAGTCTTAGGTGGGAAAATGAAAATTTTTATTTAGCCTTTTAAAAATCTGAAAAAATTCACATAGACTAATTTGATATCGAAATGAACGAATCTGTGGTGGAAATCGAGAATTTCTGGAAAATGGACACGTAGTAGTCTACCGGAGTGCTCCTATTGGCAAAAAAAGCAAAAAGCTGACTTTGAGCGCCGATATCTCAAAAACTAACTGTCCTACGGGGCTGATTATTGTCTCATTCGATTCAGCAGGTCATTTTCTACTGGGAAAGCGATAGTTCGCGTGAATTTCTGCCGTTTTCTGGCACTTTCGGCCGTCCGAAGATGGCTCGGTGACTATATCGTACTGAAGTCTCAGGTGGGAAAATGAAAATTTTTATTTGGCCTATTAAAAATCTGAAAAAATTCACATAGACTAATTTGATATCGAAATGAACGAATCTGTGGTGGAAATCGAGAATTTCTGGAAAATGTACACGTAGTAGTCTACCGGAGTGCTCTTATTGGCAAAAAAGCGAAAAGCTGACTTTGAGTGCCGATATCTCAAAAACTATATGTCCTACGGGGCTGATTATGGTCTCATTCGATTCAGCAGGTCATTTTCTACTGGAGAAGCGATAATTCGCGTGAATTTCTGCCGTTTTCTGGCACTTTCGGCCGTCCGAAGATGGCTCGGTGACTATATCGTATGGAAGTCTTAGGTGGGAAACTGAAAATTTTTATTTGGCCAATTGAAAATCTGAAAAAATTCACATAGACTAATTCAATATCGTCATTAACGAATCTGTTGTGGAAATCGAGAAATTTTGGAAAATAAAGACGTAGTAGTCTACCGGAGTGCTCCTATTGGCAAAAAAAGCGAAAAGCTGACTTTGAGCGCCGATATCTCAAAAACTAACTGTCACACGGGGCTGATTATTGTCTCATTCGATTCAGCAGGTCATTTTCTACTGGGAAAGCGATAATTCGCGTGAATTTCTAACGTTTTTTGGCACTTTCGGCCGTCCGGAGATGGCTCGGTGACTATATCGTATGGAAGTCTTAGGTGGGAAAATGAAAATTTTTATTTGGCCTATCAAAAATCTGAAAAAATTCACATAGACTAATTTGATATCGAAATGAACGAATCTGTGGTGGAAATCGAGAAATTTTGGAAAATGGACACGTAGTAGTCTACCGGAGTGCTCCTATTGGCAAAAAAGCGAAAAGCTGACTTTGAGCGCCGATATCTCAAAAACTAACTGTCCTACGGGGCTGATTATGGTCTCATTCGATTCAGCAGGTCATTTTCTACTGGAAAAGCGATAATTCGCGTGAATTTCTAACGTTTTCTGGCACTTTCGGCCGTCCGGAGATGGCTCGGTGACTATATCGTATGGAAGTCTTAGGTGGGAAAATGAAAATTTTTATTTGGCCTATTAAAAATCTGAAAAAATTCACATAAACTAATTCGATATCGAAATGAACGAATCTGTGGTGAAAATCGGGAAATTTTGGAAAATGGAGACGTAGTAGTCTACCGGAGTGCTCCTATTGTCAAAAAAAGCAAAATGCTGACTTTGAGCGCCGATATCTCAAAAACTAACTGTCCTACGGGGCTGATTATGGTCTCATTCGATTCAGCAGGTTATTTTCTACTGGGAAAGCGATAATTCGCGTGAATTTCTAACGTTTTCTGGCACTTTCGGCCGTCCGAAGATGGCTCGGTGACTATATCGTATGGAAGTCTCAGGTGGGAAAATGAAAATTTTTATTTGGCCTATTAAAAATCTGAAAAAATTCACATAGACTAATTCGATATCGAAATGAACGAATCTGTGGTGGAAATCGAGAAATTTGCCGTTTTCTGGCACTTTCGGCCGTCTGAAGATGGCTCGGTGACTATATCGTATGAAAGTCTCAGGTGGGAAAATGAAAATTTTCATTTGGCCTATTAAAAATCTGAAAAAATTCACATCGATTGATTCGATATCGAAATAAACGAATCTGTGGTGGAAATCGGGAAATTTCGGAAAAGTGAGACGTAGTGCTCCTATTGGCAAAAAAGCAAAAAGCTAACTTTGAGTGCCGATATCTCGAAAACTGTCTGTCCTATGGGGCTGATTATGGTCTCATTCGATTCAGCAGGTAATTTTCTACTGAAGAAGCGATAATAATTACTTGGAACCAACAAGAAATCTTTGTAAACCTAGGCAAGTGTTAGATATTAACTCCATTTACAAATTCAAAATATCAAATTTCATCCATTCCGTCCAATATATTCATAAACATTCAAATCTGAATTTCGAAGTCAATAGTCATAAACATGAACACATAACCAGACAAAAAGATATGTTGACTCTCATCAAAATAAAATCAGATATGGGTAAAAGATCTATTTTATACAATGGAACAATTCTCTATAATAAATTAATTAAAGGAAATGAAAAAATACTTATGTCATTAATTCTGTTATATACAGGGTGTCCCTAGACCAGTGGGACAGTTAAATATCTTCTGCACAAATAGGAATTTTCAAAATATTATAATTCCACATCATATCGCATCATGAGTGCTATCTTTAGGAATTACTATATTTTATACGAGGGGCGCAAGGAAGGCTCACAAAATCGAACATCAATTTTTTCAAATGGAACACCCTGTATTTCATTGCATTTTCATATTCTCCTTGAAGAGCTGAATTCAACGACCTAGCACACTTGGGGTCTAGCGGGAATGATTTCCGAGATATAGGGTGTGGAAAATCGAGATTTTTCATTTTTGGGAATTTTTTGTGTCAAAACTATTCATCATTGGTCAAAATGGCATGCATGTCCATATCTTAACTTTCGATTTACTATCCACTCGTATTTAAATTAAACAAATACAGGGTGGGTAGAATTCTCAGTTTCAGTCGGAATTCCACACCACCCTGTATTTGTTTCAATTAAATACGAGTAAATAGTAAATCAAAAGTTGAGATATGGACATGTAAGCCGTTTTGACCAATAATGAATAGTTTTGACACAAAAAATTCCCAAAAATGAAAAATCTCGATTTTCCACACCCTATATCTCGGAAATCATTCCCGCTAGAGCCCAAGTGTGCTAGGTCGTTGAATTCAGCTCTTCAAGGAGATTATGGAAATGCAATAAAATACAGGGTGTACCATTTGAAAAAATTGATGTTCGATTTTGTGAGCCTTTCTTGTGCCCCTCGTAGAAAATATAGTCATTCCTGAAGTTAGCACTCATAATGCGATATGATGTGGAATTATAATATTTCGAAAATTCCTATTGGTTCAGGAGATATTCAACCGTCCCACTGGTCTAGGGACATCCTGTATATCAACAGTCTCTAGACAACATTATATGTACTATGTATATGAGTTAAAGTGATTATCTGATTATTTTTTTTTTTGCTCTTTCATAATTTTCCCTGCTATAAACATATATGTTTCTTGGGAATAAAAAGAAAAAAAATGTCTGAAAACTTCATCGATAAATAAAAAACCCCCTCGATTCCAGCACCGAAGACGACCCCGACGACACACCCTCGATGCCGTCGTGCTCGACGAACGGCTCCAACAAGAGGCGGCGACTGGAGAAGGAGGAGTCGCCGCGGGGGGCAGGCGATCGCCCCTCCTGCTCCTCCCACACGCCCGAAGGCGGGAGGCGGGAGACGGTCGAGGAGAGGCCACCGTGTACGGTCAGGACGGCAGATAGGCAAGTGTAAGGGTTTTCCACCCCTAGCCCGAGAGTGGTCGCGCGGTGAAAATTTACGTCATCGGTCGCGCTTCGGTCTTTTAGACCGACGGCTGATATCGTGATAGAAACAAGTTTCCCAAAATGAACTGAAGTGGCTTTTATTATATCATTCATTGGATGATATGTATAGAACTATATAGTAATGAACAAAAACTTATATTCGAACTTACAAGGATAATAAATCAGGAATAGTTAACTAAGTATACTAGGTAGGACTAACTAATCTTGCTGCATACTGTCATTTCCTGCACAATGAACGCATTTTGATGAATTTTCTTTGATGAACAGTATGTGCAACTCCCTTGAACGTTTTGTGATCTTGCTAGTTGTTGTCTATCAGAATCGTTCTCTGGGCCAGCCGATTGTTCTGTCAGTTGAATGAGCACTTTCTTCGAGTATATCATCTCCTTGATCTATCTCAGAATCACTTTCTCCACCTACAAAAGGCTCCTCATCTGAATCGACTTCCCCGTAGAGCCTCTAGAGCCTTCTAACTTCTTTTTCATATGCACCAGCCATTGTAGATCTATAGATTCATGTAGTTATACCAAGAAATTTATGTGGGAATAAAACGGCACACTACCGGTCGCTACTCGGTCGAATAGACGGATTCCACACCCAGCCGCACTACAGTGTCTAAATAGCTCGACTGACGAATTTAGGCTTGCCTATGGTGAATCAGGAAGGTACTGAAGAGGAGGTACGCAAAGAATGTCATGTAACAATAATAGAACATAACTCGGTAATCGTCGGTCGAAAAGACCGACGCGCGACCATTCTCGGGCTAGCTATAGAATTTATCAGTAATTGTTCTTTACATTATAATTTATCCTGAACTCCATTCTGCAATTTAAATTCTCATTTTTCTGCGAATGAAGTTTTGTATATCACAATTATCTCAAAGTCAATCTAAACTGGGCGTCAATTGAAACGTTAATAGTGAAATTTGGCATCAAGTTTGACTTCTCGTAATTTCTAAAATATTGAACGAATTTTTAATTGCCGCCCAGATTCTGAATGCCTTTTTCATCGTCTTTCGAACCGTTCCTTACAGCTTCTTCTAAATTGATCAGGATCCATGATACAGGGTGAAACAAAGTTACGTGCATTTTGAGAAAAAAATTCTCCGCCCCCCCCCATTTTGTCGGAAGACCACGATGCTCATATTTTATTCAGGCATTTCATAAATAGCAACCATACCTCGGGACGTTTCCTAGTTTTTGCCAAAAACTACTGTGGTTTCCGAAAAAAAAAATTGTTCACCATTTTTTTTAAATGGACTAATACCTGTATCACCAAAACGATGAATCAGTCTCTTTATTGTCATGACTGACTTATTGAAAATGGTACTTAAATGAGTTTGGGTATATTCTAATCGTCGTAATATCACTATAGTGATCTTACCTAATGATATTTCCCATTTCGACCCGATTTGAACGAGGCATCTTTAAATTTTTTAGGACCCGAATTACACTGACGTTTTCATGAATTGGCAATTGATATAACCTCTATGCATACCTACATTGTTTCAACAATACGCTGTTATAGAAACAAGGTATCGTTGTTTGTATTTGTTGATGAGATGTGTTGATTTACTGCTCACTAAGGTAGAAAACTTTCATCATAGACTGTGAAGTAATAAATTATTGATTGTTTTTGAGTAACCTGGTATACATATCTGCTCCACCGATTTCCTGAAATGCATAAAAGCATCCATTTATGGAACTTCTCTAAAATTAGTCCATTTAAAAAAATGCAAAAAAAAAAATTTTTTTGGAAACCACAGTAGTTTTTGGCAGAAACTCGAAAACGTCCCGAGGTATGGTTGCTATTTATGAAATGCCCGAATAAAATATGAGCATCGTGGTCTTCTGACAAAATGGGGGGGGTGGAGAAATTTTTTTCAAAATGCACGAAACTTTGTTTCACCCTGTATCACGGGTCCTGATCAATTTAGAAGAAGCTGTAAGGAACGGTTCGAAAGACAATGAAAAAGGCATTCAGAATTTGGGCGGCAATTCAAAATTCGTTCAATATTTTAGAAATTACGAGAAGTCAAACTTGATGCCAAATTTCACTATTAACGTTTCAATTGACGCCCAGTTTATCGCTAGGCAAGTGATCTTCGAGGTATTGATGTCCAGCGATAAGGAATGCTCGACGTTTAGTCTAGCGACTAGCTCTTCACTGAGCTCGGGGGTGGAGTCACGAAAAGGGGCGGTGTAGGAAAAAAGGCGGAGTCAAAATGAAAATCAGAGGCGCAGCTCAAAACTCACCAGCAAATAATCAATTCATTGAAATCCAAAATTAGTGATCGTTCATGTTATAATTTATTCAAAACTTTATTCTTCTATTTGAAATATCATTTTTCTGCTGATGATATTTTGTATACCACAATTATCTCAAGGTCAATCCATCTCCAAGCTAGTGATCTTCGAGGTATTGATGTCCAGCGATGAGGAATGCTCGACGTTTAGTCTAGCGACTACAGCAGCTCTTCACTGAGCTCGGGGGTGGAGTCACGAAAAGGGGCGGTATCGGAAAAAAGGCGGAGTCAAAATGAAGATTAGAGGCGCAGCTCAAAACTCACCAGCAAATAATAAATTCATTGAAATCCAAAATTCGTAATCGTCCTTAATGTTATAATTTATTCAAAACTTTATTCTTCTATTTGAAATCTCATTTTTCTGCTAATGATATTTTGTATATCACAATTATCTCAAAGTCAATCCATCTCCAAGCTAGTGAACTTCGAGGTATCGATGTCCGGCGACGAGGAATGCTCGACGTTTAGTCTAGCGACTACAGCAGCTCTTTACTGAGCTCGGGGGTGGAGTCACGAAAAGGGGCGGTGTCGGAAAAAAAGGCGGAGTCAAAATGAAGATCAGAGGCGCAGCTCAAAACTCACCAGCAAATAATAAATTCATCGCAATCCAAAATTCGTAATCGTCCTTCGTGTTATAATTTATTCAAAGCTTTATTCTACTATTTGAAATCTCATTTTTCTGCTAATGATATTTTATATATCACAATTATCTCGAAGTCAATCTATCGCCAGGCAAGTGATCTTCGAGTTATTGATGTCCAGCGATGAGGAATGCTCGACGTTTAGTCTAGCGACAACAGCAGCGCTCCACTGAGCTCGGGGGCGGAGTCACGAAAAGGGGCGGTGTCGGAAAAAAGGCGGAGTCGAAATAAAGATAAGAGGCGCAAATCAAAACTCACCAGCAAATAATCAATTCATTGAAATCCAAAATTAGTGATCGTTCATGTTATAATTTATTCAGAACTTTATTCTACTATTTGAAATCTCATTTTTCTGCTGATGATATTTTGTATATCACAATTATCTCAAGGTCAATCCATATCCAAGCAAGTGAACTTCGATGTATCGATGTCCGGCGACGAAGAGAGGCGGAGTCCGGAAGAGAGGCGGAGTCGGGAAAATGGGTGGTGTCGGGAAGAGGAGCGCACCCCAAAACTCACAAGCAAATGATTAATTTATTGAAATCCAACATTAGAGATCGTACTCTACGTTATAGTTTATTGAAAACTTCATTTTACAGTCTCCTGGCAAGTGATAGCTTGTCACTGAGCTCGGGGGCGGAGTCGGAAAAAAAGAAGGGTGGAGTCAGAAATAGAGGCGGAGTCAGGAAGGAGCCGGAGCTGGGAAAAGGCGTGCAACCCAAAACTCGCCAGCAAATGAAATTATTGAAATCCAACATTATTGATCGTTTCCCACGTTATAATTCATTCAAGACTTCATTCTACAATTTGAAATTTAATTTTTCTGCTAATGAATCTTTTCATAACACAATTATGTCTAAGTCAATCACTTTCCAGGAAAGTGATCTTCGAGGTATCGATGGTATCCGGCGACGAGGAATGCTCGACGTCCAGCGACTACAGCAGGTCGTCACTGAGCTCGGGGTGGGGGCGAGTGAGAAAGAGAGGTGGAGTCAGGAAGAGAGGCGGAGTCGGGAAAATGGGTGGTGTCGGGAAGAGGAGCGCACCCCAAAACTCACAAGCAAATTATTAATTTATTGAAATCCAACATTAGAGATCGTACTCTACGTTATAGTTTATTGAAAACTTCATTTTACAGTCTCCTGGCAAGTGACAGCTCGTCACTGAGCTCGGGGGCGGAGTCGGAAAAAAGATGGGTGGAGTCAGAAATAGAGGCGGAGTCAGGAAGGAGCCGGAGCTGGGAAAAGGCGTGCAACCAAAAACTCGCCAGCAAATGAAATCATTGAAATTCAACATTATTGATCGTTTCCCACGTTATAATTCATTCAAGACTTCATTCTACAATTTGAAATTTAATTTTTCTGCTAATGAATCTTTTCATAACACAATTATCTCTAAGTCAATCACTTTCCAGGAAAGTGATCTTCGAGGTATCGATGTCCGGCGACGAGGAATGCTCGACGTCTAGCGACTACAGCAGCTCGTCACTGAGCTCGGGGGCGGGGTCAGAAAGTAAAAGGGCGGAATCAAGAAGTGGGGCGGGGTCGGGAAGAGGGGCGGAGTCGGGAAAAGAGACGGAGGCGGGAAGAGGGGCGGAGTCGGGAAGTGGGGCGGGGTCAGGTAGGGGGGCGGTGCTTGGTGTTTTACCGGTTCGGGAGGATGGGGGAGGGGCGGGCGATCGGTCAGGCGGCCGTGGACCGGCCGGTTGGAGGTAAGTCGCCGAAGAATCTTCTCCAGTTGTAGTTCAGAAAGTGAAAATTCAATTTCAGAAAGCGTTAATTTTATTTCAGAAACCATCAATTGTATTTCAGAATAGTCAATTATATTCCAGAATGGTTAATTGCATTTCAGAAAGTGTCATTAGTATTTCAGAAAGTATCAATTGAGATACAATGGACGCTTTCTGATATCCAATTGACAATAGGGAATTACACCATGATTTTTTGAATTGTTTTTCACGATTGCGGTTGACCCAAAAAAAAATTAAATTGAACCTAAATTCAAACGATAGCTCTAATGCGCGCGAAATATTGATGGCATTTCATTGGACGAATACAAGGTGCGTCACACCGCGTCATACACTTTGGACGGACATTCTCATTGGGTAATTCGTCTTGTCACCATTTGTCTTTGCATTTGTCACTCAAACTATATGACACTGATAGATCACTGAAAATGAAATAATGAACTATGAACTATATTTCGAGGTTACTCTTTTTCTTCTTCTAGAGTTTGTTTTGAAGCCATTTTTCTCTCAAGTCACAGATCACCCAACCACTCTGTGCTCGAGTTTTGTGTCTGTGGTTTTGTGCAACGCATTCTCCTTGGGTCGTCAGAGAGCCTCAAGAAAATTCAAGTGACGTCACACCGCGAAAAATGGTCGTTTGGAACTCTCTCAATTCGTAGCATTTTTGAAGTATTAATTAAACGGTTGTAAAGGAATCAAATAGATGAGAGGAAATGCTATTTGATATAATGAGTCATGTGTGAGACCGTTCGCCATATAAAAAGGGCTATTTTCAATCATAGTGAAATTGTCTTTTCTGAAATTCAATCGATCATTCCGAAATACAATAATTGATACTTCCTTGGAATAATAATATCAAGGAGAATTATTCACATTCGAACATGATCATACATTGCCGGACTGTAAGCCTGTGTGTAATAATTAAATTATGGAAAAAATGGTTAATTTCATCATAATATAGGCATTGCATCAAAGTATTGCCATATTAGAGTTAAATTGGTATGAATTCCTTAGAACAAAACTTAAATCAATAGGTTATTTTGACAAATTATCCACCTTAGATCATAAAATGAATCTTTAGAACACTTAGATCATAAATATCTATTATCGAACTATAGATGTATAGAAAGTCGAATGGTGTTGTCGCTTCCTATTGAAAGGATTTTCGAAATCTTTCGATATCGCCTACTTTGTAAAAATGGCGTGGGAGAATCTTGCTAATTTCCCGAAGTTTCAAACTAAATTTACAGGCATCATTCATCAACGATACGATGTCTTCACTCAGGAAAATTCTGTGATTATATTTCATTTACTCACTTTAGGTACATGAAATGCAACGAATGTTCAGATTTTCAAATAATCCTCATACACATCGCAGCATAGTCAGTCCATGATGAAAGCATTACACTCACTCAACTACCTAATATGCTATCAATACGTGCTCAATAAACTGCTAACGTTTTTATAAATTATCATTCATAAGATTTCAAAACAATTCTATTTGAAATTTCAACAAAATCATGAATATGCCGAAAACGTGACACTCCTGACATATGTCTAATCGTGAACAACGGATATGTTCCGTTAATCAACCGAGGTTACCGATGCTTTCAGGGCCAGTACCTACAATTTTGACAGTGGTTATCTACTGGTTACCACGATTGTGGTTTATTTATGGAATACCAGTTATGCGTCAAATTATAGCTCAGATCATTTTTTAAACAATTCATGCTCTGCCAGTATGATTTTCAGTTTCACTCTAATTCTTGTTCACAGTAAGCACAAGCAAAGGATGTACTGTCCTATAATGAAAGTAACATCATCAAATTGAAAATCGATCATTAATTAACCACAGCATTGGAACTTGAGACGAAATAACTGAAATGGGAATATTGTCACGTCAACGTCAAGTAAAACTCACCAGAGAAAATCGACGGTCGTTCTGGTGACATTAAATCTACCGATTTTTCAGCAACCGAGTTCCGTAAATAACCTTTTCAGGAACCAACCGAACATTTAATATTTAAGGAACGGAAAACTACTAACCGAAATAACCAAGTTGATTTTCGGAACATACCCAATATCAAGATTTTTCCTGAGGAATTGTCTGTTACGCCCTGTCTCTTTTGCGTCCTGTCTCTAGAAGCTCCTGTTCAGCAATGGACTTATATCACAAAAAAAAATGTATTTCATAATTCGATAGAACTCACCAAAACTAGCTCACCACCGCAAACCGTTTCTTGCTGTGAGCTCCCTACGTTTTATAAAAAATTATTGAAATCCCCGATTTTTCGGACCTCTGAAAACGAGGCGATGATGTGACGTCAAAACCCTAATACTGAAAGAATTAATATCAGTTGCCTCAGTTTCCGTCGGGCGTTTGGTATTTTCTTTTAACTATGGCGAGATGAGGTTTCTACGTCATAAGAGGGTACGTTTTCAGATGGTACTGTTATTTATGTCCAAAAATTGAACATTCCAGTAAATTTTTCGATCGAATTATGTCGTCAATCATTATTTATGTATGAAAGGATCATCATAAACATGGTTTGAGTTAAAAGTTCTACCAAGGTGTACACGCCCATTACTGAATTCGTGCATCATCAACCGGACTCTTCGGGTCCCGAAAGAAGGAAAACACATCCTTGAAAGTCTAGTTCAACTTCATAATAAGATTCGAAACGCATTTTGAAATTTTCCGAAAAATTGTCTATCGTTCACGCCATCTATCATCGGATATAAGAACCCTACGTTCCGAACTTGCATTCAATTGTTTATATCGAGAGTTTTAGTCTGACGAAACAATTGAAGAGTGGGCACACCAGAGGAATTATAAACGTCTCAATCGGACTTATGACGTAAATAACCATTATATTATATTAAACTATATCATCACATCACATTATTTAGCTAGGTTTCAAATTTTTGTTTTGTTTTTCAGAGTGGATCCCCACAATAATAGGAACTATGTGATATTTAATGAACAGGATCGCAGGCGATTGAAATTCAAAATACCCTTGAGGAGATTGTCACTGAGGGGTTATAGAAAAATCACCGATGTCACGCTGATATATTTGAAAAATATAGATTTGGAGTTGATAGACTTGACTTATACAAGCGTTTCCAAACAAGGAATAGAGGATTTTCTTGTTCACAATCCAAACTGTAGAGTCATTCATCCTTTGTATTGTACATGCAAGCCGAAAAATTCTTTATTCTAAATTATCTTATTCAGATTTTAAAAATTATTTATACTTGCAATTTATAAATAAAGACTATGATAACAATTTTCCACTTATTTTTTAGATGTATTTATGGTTAAGCAAACATTGGATTAAATGAAAAATCCTGTTGAAGAGGTTTTGTGGCTTACAAAAAGAGCATCTTTACTGGCAATTAAATATTGAACTGAACTACTGTGTTTATGAAAACGAAAATTACAGAAAAAAATGTTCAATTGTCTCCAAGGAAAACAGTGTCAGTTTAACAGTTGAAATAAAGGAAGCAGAAAGTTTATTCTCTTAAACTGACATGATTTGTAATTGTGCAGGAAGTTTGAGAACATTCTGATTGGTTTAAAATCATAGGAAGAAAATAATCAAAATTATCTGATGAAAATAGAAAAAAAAAAAAAATTAGGAATGTTTTATTCTAATACAAATCATCAACAAGATTATTCAAACTTTGAATCTACCTATGAATACAGTAGCATGAAACAAGGAGTACCTCAGTCTTATTCTTTCTTTGACATGTGAGGGAATGATATTGTAGGGCACTTCTTCACTTTGATTTTTCTTGAAGTTTGAATCCAAGTTTCACCAGTTGTTCTTTTGCCTCTACAATTTCCTGAAAAAAATATCAATGCTTCATTGAATATTTTACATTAAATACAGTTCTTGCATATCTCTGCATAAGCACAATGGCAATTTTTCTGCAGAGCTCAGCTTCATTGGCTTCCATAAAATCAAATTACAACCCTAGATGAGAAGAAAATTAAATTACATACTTTCTGAAGTTCCACTGCTGCCTCTTCACAATCATTGAATGTGTATACCCTGTAAAGAACTATGGTAGCTGCATATAGCTGAAATAATCGATAATAAGTATTTTCAATTGAAATTTTTAGTATGATAGGTGCACATACCCCAAATAGGATGATGAAAATAATAGGTGAGTACAGTATCAACTCATAATTGTCTCTTATAAAATCATTGTTATCTTTACTAGTAATGAGGTAAAACCATATAGCAAACAAAATGCCACCACCAGAAAGCCATTCTTGAAGTTTGGTCATGTTTCAATACTATTTAATTGATTATTTTACAAAAAATATAAATATAAACAGATCAACGTGAACAGGAAGTGACAACCAACAGCTGATTCAATTCAAGTGGTTTGGTTTGACAAGATATGAAATGTCAAGCATGACGTCATTATAATAAAAAGAAGAAGAAGAAGTGATATGACAGAATCGACATATGACATAAATGACAAACAGCAATGCCAACCTCAATTCAAACTTCAACACAAACAACAATAACAACGTCTATGACATGATTTATAAAAATTTTTAAAATATACAAGTTTTCTTATATTTTCTTAATAAATTGAAGTGCAAGTGTAATGTCAGTAACCTCTTTATGCCTAGCCAAATAAAATAATCAGATAATTGTGCAGATAAATAATTCCTTTGTTTCAAAAGTTTTAAAAAATACCATCCTCTTAAAGATATCATTTTATTGAAATATATTGTGAATTGGTGTAATTGAAATCTAATCATCCAGCCCAGCAACAACACTGAATCAACCAGTTTCACGGGAAATTTGAATCCACAATTGTGCCAATGGATAGCATTGTACGATTTTCTCTTAAAGGTAAATTTTCTCAACTTTCTTTCTTCTATGAGTGGAAAGCTGTTGTTGATTTTGATCATTAGCTAGCTATTCATGAACTCAATGGTCCTTTTTCTAGATGGTGTCGAAAAAACAGCTCAAAACTTCGAAAATTTCAAAGTTCTAATAGAAAAGATTGATGGTTCAGTAGTGAAAGTACCAGATGACCTGTCTTATGTGGATGTCAGTATAGCAGAAGGAAATTATAATATAATCAAGTAAGTTCTTTTGAGTTCTATTCAGTATTTTAATGAAGATGGTAGATTGATTAGTCTCAAATTTACCTCAGAAACAAGTTTTTATATTCTAGAATCAAAGTACCAATGATTGTCCTAATTAACCTATATCATTTTAAAATCTCTGTTGAATTTTTAGATTAAATGTGAGTTTGTTCCTACCTAGTTGATTGGTAGGTAAGTACTCCTTGAGTACTCTTGAATTTAATGAATAATAGTTTAGTATTAATTATCAAGATTGGTTAGGACATAAAGAAATTTAATATCTATACAGTATTTTTCCTTCTTCAATCATAACAACTCATTCTGACTTGCCATTAGTGAAATGTTGACAAGGGAGGTCACCCTTCCTGGAGATAATACCCTCTTGGGGCAATAGTATCCCCTGAGAATGAACACAAAAGCAATAAGATATTAGTATGATGTTTTCAGTGTTTGTAACAAATTGGAATTTTTTTATTCACTCTCCTCCACACTCGTGTACTGGCCAATAACCTACCTTTGTTTGGGGGATACAGGGTGTTAAATACAAAATGAACACTATTGATGAGTAATATATTTATGGAATTTTTGGTGACTGTGTATTGGGCAAACATGTGGAAGAATAGGTACAAGATTCAACAAGCAAATTTTCCAGACTAGTCATCCTATAGAAATAGTATAAGATTTCTCAAATATGTTACAAACAATAAGTACTTTAACAATTTGTAGAATATTAACATCAATCATAACAGATAATGGATCAAGATTCAGGACCTGTTATAAATGATTAGGAAATACTCAAGGTACAGAGATTAAAACACAATATTCCTTAATCTCCAAAGTACAAAAACCTCGACAAAAACGTTAAATCTTTGCAGACTGAATATATAGATGTGCGGAAATTAATATTATTGTTGTTGTTATTATTATCAGTCTACCCAGAAATGATTTTTTCTGATTTTTGTTTTTTTTTCTCTTGGCGCGCACGAAAGGAAATCATTATAATGTTCGGAGAGCATTGTGCGTACCTAGGGAGGATAAGGAGATAAGGTAGGTATTGGATTTTTTTTTCGGAAGTGGTGAAGATTATTATTTCATGAAAATATTTCCTTTGGCAAAGAATTCCAAGCTTCAACATTCTATTCTGTGGTTGGGATAACATAAAAACTACTGGAAAACATGTCTAACTTCCAATCTAAGCCAGGAGTTTAAGAATGTTTTTCCGTAGTTCATCACATCGTCAGTATGATGACCTTGGTAACGGCGAATTGAGCTCTTCTATCTTGAACGAGAGAGAGGGAAGTTCTCTTCCCTTCCATCTTTCTCTTCAATGCTACCAACGTGGCCGCATTGAAATATAGAAAGGTCCGATAAATCTTTCCTTGTCTAACATCTAGTTTGTACCACAGAACTATTGTTGAATTCAACAGTGTCAAATTAACGTTATTAACAAAATATGTCGATATAAGTATGATATACTCTGTAATTTCATTTCGAAAATTTTAAAGGTTATCAGTCAATGACATTTATAACATAGACACATCACATCATTATAACCTGAACTAACTGAAATATCTCACTAGAGTTGAACTGAATCAGTAATTATGTGTTCTTTCAAAAGAATTTGATTAGTTAGAATGCATGTTAACTTATTCAGTTTAGTCCAAGTGAAATATGTCAGTTCAGAAGGAAAGAATATCATTATTCGCGATAGAAAATAAGCGTACGCCACCTATCGGAGTTCTTGAAAGCTGTCAAAGCGGTATGTGTACTTTGTTTTCATTGGTTCACATTTGTTTTTTGTTTGTGCCCAGAGTTCAAGTTGTTACCGTCAGGTGAAGTGACGTGTTATTTTCTATCGCGAATAACATTGAAAATAGTTCAGTGGCGCAGCTAGAGGTTAGACAAGGAGAGATTCATCGGATCTCTCTATATTTCAATGCGGCCAGGTTGGTAGCACTGAAGAGAAAGATGGAAGAGGAGAGAATTTTTCTATCTCTCGTTCAAGGTGAAAAAGAGCTGAATTGAGCACAATTTAAGCTGATATTTTTGAGCTGAACAAGGCAATGATTCATTTCATTGGAACAAGGACCCCAGGCTGAAAGGACATACAATGAAGCTTAAACGCGAAAATTTCAAGTCCACCGTTAGGCAAAAGTTTTTCGATAATAGATTATTTGGGTTATGGAGTTCGCTCCCAGAGGCCGTTTTGACAGCTCCAAACATGAACAGTTTCAAAAATGGTTTCGATGCATTCCAGTGCTCTAATTTCTGACTGTACTTATTGTATTGAAAACGAATATTCTCAGATATAGTTATGATAATGAACATAAAAAAAATGAATACATGGATATACTGTGTCATTCATAAAGTCGGCATCATGTGGGAAAAACTTTTATTAATGACTCATTTTGAAATTCGAGTTGGACGTCAAGTTTTGCTTCAAAAGAGATAAAAAATGGCCTACTCAATCGGGGTCACGTGACTTTCGCTACATGTCAAAAGTGACATTTCTTAAAATTAATCGCTGAAAGTAGGCTTATTTGTTCGAATAACGAAAAAGTTTACTTGAAAAAGTTGTTTCTATTTCAATTTTACATATGTGACTCGGATTTTATCTTTCTATTGCATTTTTTAGATTTCGATATTTTTTAAATATTTTCGAAATTTCTGTTATATTAAAAAAATTGTAAATTCGATAAAACTACTTCATGCCAGTACCTTCATCATGTTACTAACTTTCAATTACTAATTATCACTAATTATCAACAAAAACATGATTTTCTTCAGAAAATGATAATCTCCTCTTTAAAATTCTGTTATGTTTGATCCAAGCATTCAGAAACGAAATTCATTTGAATTCATTTTTCCAGTACCTACTGAAAAGATCAGTTTAAATGAATTTTGTTTCTAAATGCTTGACGATATATCAACTTTGCATCAAACATAACAGAATTTGGAAGCGGGTATTATCATTTTCTGAAGGAAATCATATTTCTGTCCATAATCAGTGATTATAAGTAATTGAAAGTAAGTAGCATGAAAAAGCTATTGGTATGAAGTAGTTTCGTGGAATTAACAATTCTTCAAATATTACAGAAATTTCGGAAAATTAAAAAAAAAATCAAAATCTAAAAGTTGCAATAGAAATATCAAATTCGGGAAGCATGTGTGAAATTGAAATAGAAACAACTTTTTCAAGTAAACTTTTTCGATATTCGAACAAATAAGCCTACTTTCAGCGATTAATTTGAAAAAATTTCACTTTTGACATGTAGGGAAAGTCACGTGACCCCGATTGAGTAGACCATTTTTCATCTTTTTTGAAGCAAAACGTCCAACTCGAATTTCAAAATAAGTCATTAATAAAAGTTTTTCCCATATGATGCCGACTTTATGAATGACTCATATGAAGAAATACATTGAGAATTCGCATTCTCTATGTGATGAAAATATCAATTATTTCTCGGTCTATTCAACAGAAAACCACTACATTCCTGGCTATTTGCCATGTCGAACATTGAACATTGATATCTGTTGAACATCCAAAAAGAGAGCATAAAAAATGAAAATCCTCTGGAATTGCGAATTGACATTATCTCTCAAATCGGATAAAATAATATGATGTATTATGATATAAAAATATAACTTACCAATATGTATTATGAATATCAATTTATCATGCATCCAAAAACAAATGAGATTAGCAGGATTGAAAATAATTGAAATTGTAAAACCTCATCGAAACGTTTTTATAACTTGACCCAACTTGATTTCTTTCAAACCTAAATCCAAACCCCAAGAAAAAGCCTCTTGAAAAAAATGACAAGGCATGATTTTCCACAGTATTATCGTGTATTATTTTGCATTCAGTATCGAAAACTAAATTCTGTTGAAGATTTCTACAAAAATTGTGTTGTTCGTAGGGGTGGGAAAAATTATCGATATATCGATAATTATCGATAATTATCGATAATAATTTGGAGAAAAATTATCGATTTATCGATATTATCGATATTATCGATATTATCGATAATTATCGATATTATCGATATCTTCGATATTATCGATATTATCGATATTATCGATATTATCGATATTATCGATATTATCGATATTATCGATATTATCGATATTATCGATATTTTCGATATTTTCGATATTTTCGATATTTTCGATATTTT